CACGATCATAGATTTCTGGCGTGCCCAAGGGACGCTCATTGGAATTGCTGCGCCTCGGGCGACTGTGCCAACCATGCCCCAAAAGGCGCAAGAAAAAACTGAGGACATTCAGGACAGTTAAAAATGAAATAAAATTAGAATACTATTTCAGTCACAGTAAAATAAGAAAATATCGAGTGCACTTTTCTAAACTAAGAGTAAGTAACCATAAATTAACTATAGAACTTGGAAGACATACAAAGCCACCCTACCCACTACATCAGAAACTATGCTCTACATGTTCAACCATTGATGAGGAAAAACACTACCTACTTTATTGTACCAAACACACAAAAGAAAGAAATATTACTATTTGGAAAAGTATCCACACAAAATGTAAATGTCCACAATAATGAAAACATATTATTTCACCACATCCTCTCAAATATTTAGCCATCAACATCAATTGCATATGTTTCAAATGGATGATGTCAAGCAATAGATTCCTGTTGATCAACCTATGACATTTTACGTATAATATCATCAAATCTGTACTGTTGATATTTTCTATACATTACATTATTTCTTTGTGTTTTCAGGTATGTCTGTCTGTCTGTATATATGTATGCATGAATTATGATGGGGTTTTTTCGGGAATGGAATGTTTTCTGCAATAAATATCCTTTCAGATACAAATAAATCAGACATAATCCTGTTATACCCATGCTGTCATACAGATCATGAAACAAATATATCCATTACAGTCCCTTCCAAGTCTATGGTATTTGTCAAGTCTAGATTGCTGCAGTATCAGGGTCTGTACAAATCTGCTGAATTCACAGACTTTGTACTCATCAGTTAATCTCCCGCTGGCATCAGTGACACCACACCAAGACCTCCTGCTCCTGCTCTTCCCCCCTGCCACTCGAGCACTGGCCAGACATGTGTGATTTTGGAGATCTGGTGACATATACAATCTTTGTATTTTCTTTACTTTTTTAATTGGTTGGCATTTCTGGTTAAAATTAATAGGAACATTGACTTAATTGCTTTATCACCAATGAAAGCAAATATACAGAGCAAATCGTCTTCGGTTCCATTTGATTGATATAAAACAAATAACAGTCTTTTCAAATGATTTCACAAGTTGGCTTAAAGTATTGTCCACTCAAGTTGCCTCACCTAGACATGTTCGACACACGTTATGTGAAGAACATTCTCGATGTACTGCTCTTTGAAAACTTTGCAGTCAGAAGAAATGTCTCTGTCTTGGAACTTCCAATAAAAAACGTATATTCTGTTCGATGCTTCATCAATCAAACTGCCATACAACAATCAAGTCTCGTTAATCCGACAATCGGCTTTATCCGACACTAATGATGGGAACCGATTAAATCAATGCTATTTAGACCCGTTAGACCGACAGTCTCGCACTCCGACTCCGACACACCTAATTTGCAACGAATTACCGAAATCACTCATTAATCAGTCTCGTTAATCCGACACAGTGATCAGCGTACTCCGTGGTCATCTGCCCTTTACTTCTATTTTAAGTGAAAGAATTAATAATTATCTAGAAAATAATAATTTGTTATCAGAATCACTAGGAGGATTTTGATACGGATATTCTACTGTTGATAACATGTTCGTATTGCACTCCCTCATTGAATACCTCAGGGCACACAACAAGAAACTGTATTGTACATTTATAGATTTCTCTAAGGCCTTCGATAACGTTTGGTGCTTTGTACTCTGGCAAAAAGTAATAAAAACAAATGTACAAGGTACAAGATCATATTTAACATGTATCAAGGCATAAAGTCGTGTGAAAATTCATCGTTTTTCTCTAGTAATATCGGAGTAAGACAGGGGAAAAATCTATCGCCAATTCTCTTTGCCCTGTACCTAAATGACCTTGAAGAATATCTAAAACAGAAAATATGTAAAGGTATTGATGTTATATCGGAAGATGAAGTAGTTAGATAATACTATTAAAACCCCTGTGACCTTAGAGAAAAATTATATTAATGCTTTTTTATGAATATTGAAAACAATGGAAGTTGAATATTAATAAAACTAAGGTGGTTGTATTTTGATAAAGAAAGAACAATAATGTGTTAAGGATAGGCGATAATGTTATTGAAGTAGTAGATCAATATAAGTACTTGGGTCTGGTTTTTAAACGAAATGGAAATTTCCTAGCAGCCAAGATGTTGTTAGTAGCTCAAGCTAGAAAAGCTATGCACTTATTATATATTAGAATACGTAATCTTGACTTGCCAATAGACTGCCAGCTATTATTATTTGATCAAACAATCGTGCCTAAATTAACATATGGTTCCGAAATTTGGGGATTTGGTAAACTAGATATGATAGAAAAGGTTCACACAGATTTCTTAATATATATACTAAGGGTAAAAATAAGCACACCACACTATTTTTTATATGGAGAGCTGGGAATAACCCCTATAACGGATTTAATTAAACAAAGAATGTTGACATATTGGTCTAAGATAACTTATAATAAACCAACGAAATTGTGTACTGTTATGTATAATGTATTATTTGCAGACTCCTGTAACCATAAATACAGCTGGCTCGAATATGTTAAAAGACTATAAGTTTTATACGGACCCAACAATTCATGCCAAATATAAACGGATTAAAATGTGTTATTGAACAACTATCTTTGATATTAACAATTCAAACATTGGGGCCACTAAAAATATCCCATATGGCCGCTAAATCCAATATGGCAGCCATAGAGGAATGAAATTCCAGTATATCTCACTTGAACATGACACACTTCCTTGAGGCCAATTAACTATACCAATAGTGTGTGAACTTCTAAATTATCTAATTATTGGAGAAAGAAGATATCAAAGTTTCAACTCGATCCAGCACTTTAATATTGTCTTTAATTTTAAACTGCACAAATTCCATATGACATATTTCCATAAATTCTGTGAATACCTACACAATGATTGAATAATATAACACACACCCCAAGAATAAGTCGTAATATAATGAAAAGTTGCAGCACAGTTGCAGGATAGTAACTTGTACCATGGCTCGGACAGGTTGAAAAACCGTATGACCTCTATTCCCTTATCACAATCTTCTCACACTCTCTTAGAAACATGTCTTTCTTCTTTCATATCTTTAAACTCTCTGCTCCCTTTCTCACACTCATTTTTCCAAATCTATATCTGAAATTCTTGTGGGATACTTATTGCGGTTGATTAGGTCACGACCTCTAAGACTCCACACAAGACAATTAACTTTTAAGTCTTAGCTGCAACATTATACCATTGCTGTCACCAACCCCTGGGAAAATAGCCTGAAACGGCCGTTTGCAGCAAGGGCTGGCTGTTTCTACTGTTTTATCTTATAACGATACTAAACACATGCACCCATGTACACATACAAACCCTAACAAAGTTCCAATTAAAAGGATTTTCAAATAACTACAAATACCTAAAATTCAGCTCTAACAAGTGTATACTCATTAGGTGAATACAATGACAATAACTATATATTTAAAGAACAAAAATCTCTTTTGAAAATATGCTGCATGTAAATGGTTTGGTTGTCTGGGAACAGTTACATGTGATCAGTGTTGCCACCACATTTGCAAAGCGGTGTACTAATTAATGTGGCACACTTGCTCTGCTCCCCTTCTCAGACTCTACAACTACATCTGAGAAGCTCTTGGCATGACTTAGAAGCCTTTGGTAGTGTAGTCCACAAAGGACACATCCTGTTAGGTTGGTACATCATCTATAACACAGGCATTCAGTCTCATTGGCGATGTATCAATCGAACAGGATGTGACGAACACGAGGCACGCAAAGAATTGATCACTGAGTATCGCAGAGACACTCATTCTTCCTGCTTTTGGCTGCTTTGTACCAACATGTCAAGGGCTGCATTTCAAGCTGACCGACGTTGAGGATTGTTGCGTGTCGATCCCCAAATTGGAACAATATGTTCGCCCAGATTCTGTACGTTAAAGAACTTAACCAAACAACCAACAAATAGTATACAATCAACAATTGTAATACATAATAAACTAGGTTTACAAATCAATACAAATGACTGCACATCAATTACAATGGCAGTACACAATATAGTGGTCGTCCAATATTCAATGGCAGTATCAAATACAAAGTACGATGTCAGTGTTGAAGCCAAAGGTTCAGTGATAATAATATTTATCTATCCCCAGAAAGCTTCCAAGATAGGTCAAGGCTGGATATCCGGGGTCGTAATTGATCCTCACACGAAAGCTGGTCTTGATGTAATCAAATGTGAAATGACAGGCACACGCCCGCTCCACTTATATAATCTGGGTAAACAGGTGGCCCAGTCGTCTAAGGCGCCGCGTTCGCTGTGCAGAGTTGCGTCCCTTGGGCACGCCTGAAACCTATGATTGTGGGTTCGAATCCCGGTTCGTCCCGATTATTATTTTAGGTTTGTCAGCACAATACCCATGCTCGTGGGTTTGAGACCAGCATTACTTCGAGCTTTCCTCCCACATTAAGCTGACACGCCGTAACTTAACCGTAATACTGTTAAAAAGCAGCGTTAAACCCAACTCACTCACTTATATAATCTAACTAGTAATACATTATAATATACTTTTATCCTTATGTTGAAACCTTTCATTGTTTTTAGTGGTGAGGTGTAAAAGTCAGCGTCAACTTAATACGATGTATAATACTGTATTTCATTTTATTGATCAATGTGATCAATAAAAGTGACAAATGCGCTTAGGAATTGCGCAACACAGGTCGCGAACTAGTCTAGGTTTCTGCTATATCATCCGGGTACTCACGGAAAAACACAATAACAAAGGCAACAACCAGTCCCGGGGAATTGTTTTAGACCAGTGCCCCTTTAATGTGACATATTAATTGAGTTTGTTGTCTTTATTTTTGTGTGGCCGTTTTGACTTCGCTTTTTGAGGCCATTCTAACATTAGGCCGTTTTGGTCTGTCATCAAAATCGTTTACAGGGAACACCACAGAAATATGGTTGTTGCAGCTTTCCCGTGTACAAATTGATCAATGTAGTTCTATTGCTGATTTATTCCATAAGGTCTTTCCATAATGTGGCTAAAATATTATTTGGAATTTCGCTGATCTGTTTAGACCAATGAAATTGTTCATTAATCCCGCGGGACAAGGCTATAAATAGCTTCTCGGTCTTTCCTCGGGGCCGAGTTTACTGCGTCTCCAGTATATCCACCCCAACGACCTTGAAAGGGTGACTGGCAGAATCGCTGGGACACGAACACTTTGAAGATGATGATAATCAAATGCGGTTGATCTAGACCGTCTGAAAGCGATCATAAGTCAACTGAACAACTCGTCAAGCTATCGAAAGTCAACCCAAGAGAAGACGCGCCACCCGGAGACTTGCAACGCCTTCAGCAACAGCAGGTACCTCCTTCGCGGTGATTGTTTCGCCCAGAATTGCAGAAGGTAACGCCCCTAGAATTTCTCATTATGTATCTAATAACAATCGCAATGCACTAAAATGAAGTCTTACCTATATATGAGCACATTTATTTCTGTTTACAATTAAAAAATAATGACCACATCTTGTCAATTTAATCGTGATAATGCCCCGCCTATGCTAGACGAGTCAATCAGGCGAAATCTTGTTAACGTCACCTGATTTCGTATATCTTCCCAAGCTCCTTCCCAGTGTTAGACATGTTCGACACACGTTATGTGAAGAACATTCTCGATGTACTGCTCTTTGAAAACTTTGCAGTCAGAAGAAATGTCTCTGTCTTAGAACTTCCAATAAAAACGTATATTCTGTTCGATGCTACATCAATCAAACTGCCATAAAACAATCAAGTCTCGTTAATCCGACAATCGGCTTTATCCGACACTAATGATGGGAACCGATTAAATCAGTGCTATTTAGACCCGTTAATCCGACATTCTCGCACTCCGACTCCGACACACCTAATTTGCAACGAATTACCGAAATAACTCATTAATCAGTCTCGTTAATCCGACACCACAGTGATCAGCGTACTCCGTGGTCATCTGCCCTTTACTTCTATTTTAAGTGAAAGAATTTAATAATTATCTAGAAAATAATAATGTGTTATCAGAATCACAAGGAGGATTTCGACACGGATATTCTACTGTTGATAACATGTTCGTATTGCACTCCCTCATCTAATCTATCGCCAATTCTCTTTGCCCTGTACCTAAATGACCTTGAAGAATATCTAAGACAGAAAATATGTAAAGGTATTGATGTTATATCGAAGATGAAGCTATTATTATTTGATCAAACAATCGTGCCTATATTAACATATGGTTCCGAAATTTGGGGATTTGGTAAACTAGATATGACAGAAAAGGTTCACACGGATTTAATTAAACAAAGAATGTTAAAATATTGGTCTAAGATAACTTATAATAAACCAACGAAATTGTGTACTGTTATGTATAATGTATTATTTGCAGACTCCTGTAACCATAAATACAGCTGGCTCGAATATGTTAAAAGACTATTCGATGGATTGGGCCTTTGTTTTATACGGACCCAACAATTCATGCCAAATATAAACGGATTAAAATGTGTTATTAAACAACTATCTTTGATCAGATTAGCCAGACGTGGACAAGTTATGTAAACAACTCTCCCAAGGCAGTATTTTACCGAATAATTAAACATAAACTCCATTTAGAAAATTATCTGCTGTCGCTACCCTGAAGACTCAGTATCCCGATTACTAAAATAACATAGATTACCAATAGAAAAGGGTTGATGGGAAAATATACCGCGGGAAGACATCAGATATTAGCTGATGAATATCACTATCTACTAATATGTCCTTTTCTGCATAACTTCCGTGAGTTATATCTTCAAAAGAAGTATTTTACAAGACCTAGTGCGATACTACTTGATATGTTACTCAATACTGAAAGTTTATCAGATCAAAGAAAACTAGCACAGTTTGTAAAAGAAATCCTCAAGATGCTTAATTAAATGTATGAGTGTGTTGCAGTTAAACGTAAAGTCTCCTGCCTCGTGTCAACATACATCTCCATTTGTACCTTCAATATGTCACAGCTATGACCTTGAAGCGAAATATACGTTTGTTGCTTGTTATTGTGTTGTTGTTGCCCGCGAGTACACAGACTTGTGTTTTGATGCGTGCGAGACGAGTCGTCGAGTAGCTGCATATTTCAACGGCTGCAGACATAAACTTGCTCAACAATAAATAATTACTGCTTTAAATAAACAAAACAGGATTTATCACATACCTAGATTACCTCAATCTCATAAAATCGGATACAAGTTCTCGCTACCACTGAGGACATCCCATTACAAGTATAGTACAAACCGTAAATAACTTTGAAATCGTTGTCGGATTTTTCGAGAGATTTCTGGACATTAGACACTTAAGCTCTCTCAACTGCCCACGACTGACAGTGAGAGTGTGTGTGTTTGGGGAGAGACAGTAGCATCAGTAAATATTCCTGTCAGACACACTTTCAGTGGCCTGTCAGTGATGGGTGATAGCAATCTTTACGTGTGTTGTGAATTTCCAGGCAATTAGAGCTCTACAGATTTGTCTCTGAAAATGAAGAGAGTATTTATTATTAATATATTTCATAACTAATATTTAACAACTGGTATTGTCTGTAAAATATGTTAATTTCAGAGACAAGATGTTCGTCTAAGACATAGCATGTCGTCATTGTTACTGTTTGTGGCTGTTTTAGTTTTGAGGCACACTCACCAAGAAAGGGTGATGACCAACAGTAACACAACCCGAGACACCAACCAATTCCAGATGTAAAATGCAGAGATTGTATAAGAAGATATGAAGATAATATGGAGTAAAAGATATAGCAGAATAGCATTTATCTAGTCAGTTGTGTACGAAAATATCAAAAGTACAGTAGACATTGATGAATAATTAAAACAAATGTTCATTATTAACAAATCAAGTGGGATTTTTACATGAAGCAGAAACAGTATATACTAACTGGATTCAACATTTCACATAATAAGAAATATCTTTCAAGGGCTATAAGCGTGTTCATAAACCTGCAGGTGCAATGGACATCATGTTACTGCCCAGTACATGTGGTGCACGTGGTCTTCTGGTGACATTCATGTAGATGTGAGAAGTTCAGTTAAAACAAACTATATAGAAATAGTTTCATCTTGGTTTTCCTTTCATGTAAATACCATAGTCACCGCTATTTCTTCTAACTTTGATGGCATAAATAAACCATAAAACATAAAACATAAATAAGTACAAAGTAATAAATGTCATATTTGGGATAAAACTTTCTTTGTAAAGTGCAAACCCTAGTAATTTTTGGAGTTGAGTCCCATCTGGGACAAAAATGGAAGTTTGATAAATGGTACTCACAAACTTCGTGTACCACTCTGACAATTGTATATTGGCACGGGTACAACTTTGCAATATGTTCGCTACTTATTAAACCCACTAATTATAAAGTTTAAAATTTTACCCACCATATTATTCTCAAAAAGGTTTGAGGAACCATTTTACATTGCTACGTTAGATTTTGATGAGGTTATTGAGGTATATAATATATCCTTTTAATAATCTGAAGTGGCAGTCAAACATAACAAATGTTATATTTGGGATGACACTTTCTTTGCAAAGTACAGTTTCTCCAGGATTCAAACCCACACTGCCAGAGTGAGGCACCAATCGCCAGCACACAAAGTCAGCGATCTAACCCACTCAGCCACCGAAGTTTCAACAAAAATGAAAGTCCGACAACTGGTAGTCTAAATCACGTACTTTGTGTACCCCCCTGACAAGTGTAAATTGGCACTGCTCCCATGTGCCATTTAGAAAGTGGTCAAATGTAACAAATGTTATATTTGGGATAACACTTTCTTTTCAAAGTACAGATTCTCGTACTTTTTCGGGTTGAGTCATACATCGTATTTTAAGAAAACAAGTGGCTCAAAGTGAACCATTTTTACTGTATTTTCTTAAGAAAATCTATGTCAGAATTGTTCGGTCCGACTTGGCCCGGGCTGTAAAAATCAACTTAAACCTCACAGATGTATCATCAAATGGATTCACATCTTTAGATTAGTATTATATCTACCTAAATACCTCTTTATAGTGTCTCAGATCGCTGTAATTAAAGAAAACAAGGGGCTCAAAGTGAAGCCCCTTTCCCTCTACATTCTCAACATAGTCTCTATCAGAAGTGTTTGTCTTGTGTTGGGTCCGACTTGGCCCGGGCGGTCAAAATCAACTTTAAGCACACAGACGTATCTTCAAATGTGTTAACATCTATAGATTAGTGTTATATCTACCTATATACCACTTTATAATGTCACGGTTCATCGTATTTAAAGAAAACAGGGGGTCTCAAAGTGAATTTTTCTACTGTATTTTCTCAAGAAAATTTATGTCAGAAGTGTTCGGTCCGACTTGGCCCGGGCTGTCTAAATAAACTTAGACCTCACAGATGTATCATCAAATGGATTCGCATCTATAGATTAGTGTTATATCTACCTATATACCACTTTATTATGTCACGGTACATCGTATTTAAAGAAAACAAGGTGCTCAAAGTCAAGCATTTTTACTGTATTTTCTTAAGAAAATCTCTGTCAGGAGTGTTCGGTCCGACTTGACCCGGGCTGTCACAATCAACTTTAAAACACAGATGTATCTTCAAATGTGTTTACATCTATAAATTGGTGTTATATCTACCTATATACCACTTTATAATGTCTCGGTACATCGTATTTTAAGAAAACTAGTGGCTCAAAGTGAACCATTTTTACTGTATTTTCTTAAGAAAATCTATGTCAGAAGTGTTCGGTCCGACTTGGCCCGGGCTGTAAAAATCAACTTAAACCTCACAGATGTATCATCAAATGGAATCACATCTTTAGATTAGTATTATATCTACCTAAATACCTCTTTATAGTGTCTCAGATCGCTGTAATTAAAGAAAACAAGGGGCTCAAAGTGAAGCCCCTTTCCCTCTACATTCTCAACATAGTCTCTATCAGAAGTGTTTGTCTTGTGTTGGGTCCGACTTGGCCCGGTCGGTCAAAATCAACTTTAAACACACAGACGTATCTTCAAATATGTTTACATCTATAGATTAGTGTTATATCTACCTTGGAGCTTCGCATGTTTTGCATGGAAATAGTTTAAAATACGTGTTTGAAATATTATTATCTCTTTCCTGAACCATTTAGACATAAAATGAAGTAAAAGTAATTAGTATTATATCTACCTAAATACCACTTTATAGTGTCTCAGGTCGCTGTACTTAAAGAAAACAAGGGGCTCAAAGTGAAGCCCTTTTCCCTCTACATTCTCAACATAGTCTCTATCAGAAGTGTTTTGCTTGTGTTGGGTCCGACTTGGCCCGGGCGGTCAAAATCACATTTAAACACACAGATGTATCTTCAAATGTGTTTACATCTATAG